ATATATATATATATATATATATATATATAAACTTTCGTGTTGACTGACTATGATGAATATGATTCTTTTAATGTTTTATTGTTGATGTTGTTGTTGTTTTTGTTGTTGTTGTTATGACGATTACATTATAATAATGATAGGAATAATTTTAAATAATTTTAATAGTTATAATTATTATTATAATTGTCATATAAATATATATACCTATATATATTAGTCACAGTTGAATCTCATATGTAGAATGTTTTCGTTATTCATGAATTTTATGACTATTATTATTATTATTATTAATTTAATATTTATATTATTTTATTATTAATATTATTTTATTATTGTTGTTTTTATTTTATGATTATTTTTTTAATTTGGAATTTTAATTAAATATTTATTTCGTGCGTTGGTCACTTTGAGCTGATGAAAAAATGAGTGAATACAGGTAGAGGGTTTATTTCGGTTTTTTTGGGATAAATGAATTGGTGAATGCGTGAATGAATAAATGAATGAATTAATTAAGGAATTAATTAATGAATGAATGGAAGATAAGTGAGTGAATGAATGAATGATTGAATAGATGAATAGATCAATGAAACGAATATTGAAAAATTATGAACAGAGAGTTCCAGAGAAAAGGTCCAGAAAAAGCAAATCCAGATTTAGCAGAAGGGTGTTTAACACGAGTTAAGAAGACGATCGTAAGTGTAGAATGAGGAAGACCATAGTAGAGCGAGTTACAATAATCAATCCTAGAAAAGACTAACGAAGTAACAAGAAGGAAAAGAGTAGGATTGTCAAGAACAGGCAAAAGTTTCTTTATTCTACGTAGATGAAAGTAAGAAATTTTAGAAGCACTATTAATCTGAAGAGAAAGAGACATAGTAGAATTAAAGATAAAACCTAGGCTATGAAACTTGTGAGAAACATCAAGAGTTTTAGAGTCAGGTCAGATAATAGGAGGAATAGTAATAGAGTATTTAGAATTATTAAAACAAATTAATTCAAATTCAGAAGGATTAAGTTTAAGACACATAGAGTCAGACCAAGCGATAATTGAAGAAAGACAGAGATAAATTATGAAGAGCATTATTGAGATTAGATGGAGGAAAAAAAGTATAAATATAAAAATCATCAGTGTATGGTTGACTAGTGAAAGAAAAATTATTAATAATACGAGCTAGTTCAGAAGTATAGAGTGTAAATAGAAGAGGCCAAGGAGAGAACCCTGAGGTACCCCGAAAATAAGAGTAGAAGAGTTAGAAGTAGAATTATTGAGAACAACAGAAGAAAAACGATTACAGAGATAGGAAAAAAACTAAGATAGACAAGAATCAGTGATATTAAAAGAATCATCAAGTAGCCTCAAGAGAATAGTATGATCAACAGTATCAAAAGCTTTTTGTTTGTGTTATCGCATGCACTCCTTAGAAGTTCTAGAAGGATGATAATCCACGTAAAAATAACATTTAGTAAGAACAGTTCACAACATATCATAATGGCTAAATCAACATACCAAACAGAAATTATTTATACATGCATATATACAAAGTAAATCAAGAAATATCAAAAATTATATAACCAAATTAAAAAAAAACCTAGAAACTAGTCAAATAGACATTATTAAAAAAATTGTCCAAAAAAGTAAAATTTAAGGCGACGACGAAAAATAAATTTAGTATGTTTTGTTGGTGTGGTGGTGTGAAGCAAATACAAATACATAACAAAAAATAGTAAAAAGTCGTAAAAATAGTAGTCGGTTACCTACCTACAATTTAATTACTTTCAGGGTCCTAGCTTACATATAATGATTAACTCATCTCACCTACCTACAAATTTGTATTTCTAAGTTTTAGAAATTTTAAATAGTTCAGGTATTGTATTTTACATATTTAACGTTTTTAATTTGCATTTTTGGTATAATTAAATTTTTTTTAATTTTTTTTTAGAAACTTCTTAGATAATGTTTAGCCCTAGCCTACCTACGATTGTTCAACTCATCTCAATCTCATATCTAACAAGATATGGAGATATATGAGAAAAGAAAGGGGCACGAGCAGCTAGTCGAGCAGCAGAGTTAAAAGCTTTACTTGAAGGATAGACTGTAGAATCAGGAAGACCATAGTAGAGCGAGTTACAATAATCAATCCTATATAAGACTAAAGAAGTAACAAGGAGGAGAAGAGTAGGATCATCAAGAAAAGGCTCAAGAACTTCTAGCAACACTATTAATCTAAAAAGAAAAAGACATACTAGAATCAAAGATAAAGCCTAGACTACGAAACTTATGAGAAACATCAAAAGTTTTATTCAAATTAATTCAAATTTAGAAGGATTAAGTTTAAGACACATAGAGTCTGACCAAGCGATAATTGAAGAAAGAAATAGAGATAGATTATGAAGAATACAATTTATGGAGAAATTAGATTAGATTAAATTAGATTAGATGGAGAAACCATGTAAATATAAGAATCAGCGTATGGTTGACTAGTGAAAGAAAAATTATTAATAATAATACGAGGTAGTTCAGAAGTATAGAGTATAAATAGAAGAGGGCCAAGGAGAGAACCCTGAGGTACCCCAAAAGTAGAAGAGTTAGAAGTAGAATTATTGAGAACAACAGAAGAAAAACGATTACAGAGATAGGAAAAAAACTAAGATAGACAAAAATCAGTGATATTAAAAGAATCATCAAGTAGCCTCAAGAGAATAGTATGATCAACAGTATCAAAAGCTTTTTGTTTGTGTTATCGCATGCACTCCTTAGAAGTTCTAGAAGGATGATAATCCACGTAAAAATAACATTTAGTAAGAACAGTTCACAACATATCATAATGGCTAAATCAACATACCAAACAGAAATTATTTATACATGCATATATAAAAAGTAAATCAAGAAATCAAAAATTATATAACCAAATTAAAAAAAAAAAAAAAACCTAGAAACTAGTCAAATAAATAGACATTATTAAAAAAATTGTCTAAAAAAGTAAAATTTAAGGCGACGACGAAAAATAAATTTAGTACGTTTTGTTGGTGTGGTGGTGTGAAGCAAATACAAATACATAACAAAAAATAGTAAGAAGTCTTAAGAATAGTAGTCGGTTACCTACCTACAATTTAATTACTTTCAGGGCCCTAGCTTACATATAATGATTAACTCATCTCACCTACCTACAAATTTGTATTTCTAAGTTTTAGAAATTTTAAATAGTTCAGGTATTGTATTTTACACATTTAACGTTATTAATTATATTGGTATAATTAAATTTAAAAAAAATTTTTTTTTTTAGAAACTTCTTAGATAATGTTAAGCCCTAGCCTACCTACGATTGTTCAACTCATCTCAATCCCTAACTTACCTACGTTAATTCGTAAAGTTATTTGAACAACTATCTTCATTATATTCAATGAATATTTAACATTCTGCTGGTGCTCATAAAAACTGGTTGCTGAAATCATACGTTGGCTTACTGTAGTGGCTTACAGGGTCTCAAATAACTTATGTTGGCTTAATCGGATATTTTTTCATATATACAAAACTATGAGATCAATCAATCAACCAACCAATCAATCAACCAATTATTCATTCAATCAACTAATCAACCAACCAATCGACCAATCAATAAACCATATTTGAAAAATATTTGCAAGGCTTGTTAAAACTCGAACCAACACTTAACTGTACAGATCTACAAACAATTTCGAGATTTTAGTAAAGAAAGAAAAACACAATAGTTGCTTTTATTAAATCAAGAAATATCCAAAAATTATATAACCAAATTAAAAAAACTAGAAACCAGTCAACATTTAATAAAAAAAATAAAAAAGACATTATTAAAAAGATTGTTCAAAAATGTAAAATTTAAGGCGACGACGAGAATAAAATGTGGTTTGTTTTGTTGGTGTGGGGCTGTGAAGCGAAAACAAACAAACACAGCACAAAAAACTAGTAAAAAGTCGCAAGAATAGTAGTCAGTCACCTACCTACAATTAAATTACTCTCAGGGCCCTAGCTTACTTATAATCGTTAACTCAACTCACCTCTCTACAAATAAGTATTTCAACGATTTTGGATTTTACTTGTTTTAGGTATTTTATTTTACATATTTCAGCGTTTTTATTTTACTTGAAACATTTTAACTAATTTTAAGCCCTAGCCTACCTACGATTGTTCAACTCATCTCAATCCCTAACTTACCTACGAATTAAATTAAAGTCAGGTAAAGAAAATAGAAAGTTGAAGAGGAACATAACAACGACGACACCGAATGAATGGATGTTGTGTATGTGTGTCTTGTATTGGTGTGTGTGTGTAAATGTGCGCGCGTGTACTCTCCAGAAACTTCTTCACTCACTACGGACGAACCTCCATTGCATCGACCATCATCTGACACGCATCGTGAATTTGACCGGGTACTGAAAAACACTAAATCTGAAAAAAAAATTAAAAGCTGTTGGAAAAAGTAATAGGCAACTTATCTTATTGAGATAACCTTTAATCCTTCGTTCAAATTCGAGTACTTTCATAGGTACGATGGGACAAAAACAAATTTCCCTTTAATATTATCTTCAAATTGTCGTCGGAATGATCATCATGAGACCACCATCTGAAACGTGCTGACGTCCACCACAGCCCACCTCTCATCATTCTGTAGACAAATTTTTTTTAATTAGCATGTTGGTAAATCAAAGAACAAAAGAACGAACAAATAAATGATTAACTGAATTAGTTAAAAGAATGAATGAATTAATTAATTAATCAATCAATGATTCAATGAATGAATAGAATGAATTAACGAATCATTTAATGGAAGAATAATTTGAAAGATTGAGTAATAAAATGAACGAATGAATTAATGAGAAAAATGAGAAAACGAAACTAATCCTTACTTCAAAAATCGTCGTTACTGTACTCCGTTGCACCGACCACACAATCATCTGGTCGGCACACAAGATGTCATCCGAACTTCTGAGTGTCAGTCGAACAGCCAACGAGCTGATTCTTCCTACACCACCATCATCATACGTAAATCATCATGAGACCACCATCTGAAACGTGCTGACGCCCACCACTGCCCACCTCTCATCATTCTGTAGACAAAATTTTTGATTAGCGTTGTAGTAAATGAACTTTCGAACGAAGGAACAAACGAATAAATGATTGGTTGAATGATAAAGTGAATGAATGAATTAATTAATCAATAAATAAATTAACGAATGAATATAATGAATTAATTAATCAATTAAATAATTTGAAAGATTGAGTGAAAATATGAATGAATGAGAAAAATAAAAAACGAAACTAAACCTTACTTCAAAAATCGTAGTTGCTGTACTCCATTGCACCGACCACAATTATCTGGTCGGCACACAAGATGTTATCCGAACTTCTGAGTGTCAGTCAAACAGCCAACGAGCTGATTCTTTCTACACCACCATCATCATACGTAAATCATCATGAGACCACC